TAAATATTAACAAAATAAAACTGATGACCGAAAACAACAGCAAAAACAAAAAAATTGGGGGCTTTTGCTTGACAGGCTTATCTATTTAGTGGCAGTGGATCACCAATACCTCCAGGCAGTGAAATATTTTTCTATAGTCCGTTCCGTTGTGTTGAGTTTCCGCTTTCTGGGTGTTGCTCCTAAGGTTTGTGTTGGGAATAAGCTTACGTAAGTGTTTAAGGAGATGCCCAAAGGTGTTAAAGATGCTGTAAGTCAATAGAAGGTCACTTCTAAAATGCCTGTAATTTAATGGGTAAGGGTTCAGTGATTGGAAATGCTCATCATAAGTTTAAGTCAATGAACTGAATTTGCGACTCGCCATCGCATACGTTTAAGATTGTCCTTATACTTTTGTTGTGTAGGAGGAAACAGTATGTTCCCTCACTCTAATTGGGGACGAATAAAACTACTGAAGATTATGTGGAAGATCCTTCTATCGAACTTGCCGACAAATCGCGCCTCAACGTTACCAGATCAAGATTTGCTTGAGAAAGCATTTTTAACACAGTTAACGTAAGTCTTCAAACCATACGTCAGCAACACTCCTAGATCTTTCTCACATGAGATACCTCTAGAAGGGAGTCTGTAACATGTCTCAGATGGACAACTTTACACTGTGAAGAATTATAAATAAGTCTGCTGTCATCTGCCCAACTACGAAGTTGAGTCAGATTCTCCTGAAGCGTCAGTTTGTCCTCTTAGCCGCATACTCTGCTCCAGAGTTTCACATCACCAGTGAAAAGTAATAAATTCGACGGTACCTGTTGTGGAAGATCGTTCGTACAGTTCAATGGGAGGAGAGGTTCTAGTACTGAACCCGGAGGAACTGTGGAATTGTAGTCTACTATGATATTAGTACTGCTCTAATAATAGACCTGATCCTAAAATTGTGGGTTTGCCATGATGTCGCTGCCCAGTTAATAAGTTCTTACGTAGAAGTCACATCATTGTCTACACCAACTCATCACATTGTAACAATCACCATATATGATAGAGAACAAACTTAGACTAGAGTTAGAACAATGTATCTAATATGAATAAAAGATTATGTTGCGACACATAAGGCTGAACACGCCTGAAAGGCCGAGCTATGCCATCCGATCAATTAGAATTCACTCTATTCATTCTTCCTGCCTTCGCCATCGTTGGGTTTTTCTCCGCATTAAATATTGAATATCTGTTTTCCCATTTGTTTCGTGTTCAGCCTTGAGTATTGTGTAGTTACAGCCCAATACCACTACAGCACCCTACCAGGATATTTCATAGCCTGAGAGAAATCAAAGTTCACCCCGACCTTAAACTTTTGACTTTTTGATGATCATACTTCACAAACTACATTATTGCGGGAGTATATTGGCAAGAGTATGTATAAGTAACAGAGTGAGAACACTGTTGCATGGGCCAGTTCATGGTGCGTGACTGAAATGGTTCATGTTGGTTGTCCTTGACCTTGAAAAGTGTCGATGAGTTATTCCACATTCAGTGACTTGACTGCTAGGTGGTTTAGCCAGGGCCCAGCGACATTTCACTGGCCCTAAAAGTTCAAGCTGTTAGATATTTTGCCACCACTGATAGGCTGGTAGAAGTCTTGAGTCTTCAGTAGTAAGGATAGGAGGTCTACCAACCTATATTATTCCTTGTAGTTTGTAACACTGCAGAGGTCCAATCTCCTTTTGAATATATCAATAGAAGGTGTTGACATTACGTGTTCTGGTAGAGAATTTCTGTAATTCACTATTCGGTGAGAGAAACGAAACTCCAGACATAAAAGATTCGATCTCGGCTTTGGAACTTTCTTCGTATGTCTTCTCAGCATGTCAGTCATAGACAGAAGGAAGTGATAAGACATGTTAATACCAAGGTCATCGTTCAGTATACGATAAGCCAATATTAGACCACCCACGTATTCAGCAGTAAGATAACGAAAACAGGTTGAGGTATCTCACTCTGTCTTTATAAGATAGGTCAGAGAGACCCTTTACCATTTTTGTCCCTCGTCGTTGGACTCGTACCAGCATGTCTGCTTCATACCTGAAATAAGAACTCGCTGGTTGAATCCCATATTTCAAATGCGGTCTCGCGAAATTGGAGTATAACAATTTAAATATTTTTTCATCCAAATACTAGAAAGACCTATGAATAGCCCATAATCCGCTACAGCTTTTTGCTGCGGCAGCCTTACAGTTACTAGTGGTTTTGAGATCACTGCCTATTATGACTCCTAAATCTTTGTGGTTTCTTACTTTGGGTAGCACGAATTCACATATTGTGTAGTGACACGAACCATTATAGTTATTTAATTGCATGACCACACTGTTGTTGGGATTTACTTCTAGTGACCACCTGTCCATCCATGCTACCAGTGAGCTAGAATCATCCTGTAATACTATTCTATCCGATATACTGTGGGTCTCCAAATATTTAGATCGTCGGCGAAGAGTAGAACCGATGAATTTTCTACGGTTGGTAATTCATTTACATAGGATAAAAAGAGGAGAGGACCAAGGATTGTGCCTTAGGGAACTCCACTTCTTACGGGATTCCACGCTGAGAGACAGTTGCACCCACCCTTATCCCCTGTCTCTTATCACTGAGAGAGTCACTTATCCAGTCAATGACCTTACAATGGATTCCAAAGCTTTCCAGATTTAGTTTATGACCGCGATGGGATACGTCATCAAAGGCTTTGCTTAGATCTATGAAAATCACATCTACATGAATATTTCGACGTTTTGCCGCAGCCCAAACTTCTCTTGCAATGAGCAGATTTGTCAAACATGATAGGCCCTTCCGAAAACCATGTTGTTCTCTGGACACAAGATTATCTCCTTCCACATAGTTTATAATAGCCATCTGAATAATCTTTTCCATTAGTTTTAGACTATCGGGCCGATAGTTACTAACTAAATCTTCACCCCCATCTTATATACCGGACTAATTAGCACGTCTTTCCAGTCTTTTGGCAGTGTGAACTGACTCAGAGACCTGTCAAACAGTATGACTATAGGTTCAGCAATTACATCCGATAAGACTTTCATGATCCTAGGATGAATATCATCAGGACCACTTGATTATCAGGTCTGAGATGCCGACGTAGTCTTAAGGCAGCGACTTTCCCAATGACTACAGGGTCCATCAACAAGACACCAAAATCACAAAGAATCGTTGGTTATTCTTCATTATCGATAAAAATCACTCTACTGAAATATCCCGATAAAGCTCCAGCTTTTTCGACATCATCTCTTGCCAGCATTAACAGATTTCCTTGTATCAACAGTGATGGAATCCTATCACTCCTCTGAGTTCGCCTTTTTATATACAAGAATGACCGATTTAGACCATTTTTACAATCCCCAACCAATGTTTTTCATATGACCGTCTAGTATTACTTATTGACGCTTTACAGGCATTCCTAGTCTTACGACAGTTAAATCTGAACTGTCCTAAGCCAGTAGAAATGAACATATTCCAACGCCTTGTCGTACATCTGAGAGGTTTTTCGACTTGTTAGATCGTCCATGGTGGACTGTTATCCGGTCTGCGTAGTCCCAGATATGGTATAAAAGGACGCCACCTCCTTCTCTACATTTATGTCTATCACTTCTTAGGTAGTGGTATCCAGATAATTCTGGAGTTATGTCGAAGTCAATGACTAACTGAGTTTCCGTCACAGCTACAATGATTTGCCTTAACTTGTCCACCAATGCTCCTAGTCTATAGAACTTGTTTGTTAGACTACGAGGATTGATATATGGAACTCTTAGGGAGAACGACCTATCCACATAGACCTTGGTAGCCTTCGCTTCCAAGACCTGACTATTCCGAAGCCCACTAATTGGAGGATTTCCTCACCGTTTCGTCGACGAGTTCCTAGTTCAGCTGATTCCACCTTCCTTTTTATTCTATCATCAGGAGACATATCAGGTCTTACTGGAATGTCGGTATTGTCGTGACTACGAGCGCTGCTTAACAGAAGATCATGTTGCTTCTCTGACCCTAGGATTACCTTAAGGAGTCTGTATGGCCGAGGTTCAACAGTGTCATCGGTCCTCTTACCTATTCTTATGAGTTTTTGTCCTGAACCCCCTTAAAAGTGTCTAGTAAGACGTTACGAATAAGTTCTCCGAGCTTTTCCAAATCATGCGCGTGTCTAATTCTGGGATCAGGATTGCTTGACTTGAGCAAATTTCTCACAATAATATTCGACGAGATTAAAGTCTTCTCAGCCACGCCAGGATGGAGTTCTGTCTTACTATCAGACTTTGGTAGTCTATTTTCCGTCAATCACAGTCGGGTGTTCAACGCATGTTGTAACAGCACGTACTACAACGAAACATTCTTCACTGTCAGTTCTTGTGTTACCAGTGCAACCACTATCTCTATTCTGACAGCCCAAAGCTAATAGGCTCATAGACTACTGGATTAGTAACATCTTATTCGTACAGCAAAACATACAAAGCTAATGGGAATTAAGCTTTGAGCATCTTTTGTATGCAGTGGGGCTTAAACGTGTACACATCTTATGAAACCATTTTTTACACTCATTATATCGCATTCCTTCCTCCACGAGGAATAAACAATTTGGATGTATAGATTTATAAGTACTGCCAAACATTGTAATCAAATTAATAAAGTTTGAAACACAATATAATCACAATATGAACACAAGTGTCAGAGTCATTCAGAACGAAGGCATCACAGAGCAAATTTTAGCAAAATTTCAAACCTTAACCGAAATACTTCGAGTTAAAGTAGACCAAGAATGCTTTTGGATGCAACAAGTACACAAAAGCAAAGATGACCACAACAAGTACGGGCCTTTAGAGAACGAATTGCCTTGATAAGACTGAAACGCACTTTTGGAAAGTCTTCCTTCTGCCTATAACACAGTTTCTTCTAATACGCCCACGCGCGTTTGAATCGTTTGGAGCTGGATTTGACATAAGGTCAGTCCGTAGGTCATGTACCGAGATTACGGCCTGGCGCAAACTCCGTTTATTGATAAGTTAGAGGTACGTATGAATGCCATCTTGTGTTAAAATTAAGACTCTTAATCAAGCAACAATTCCAGAAATACCTGTGTACAAACCTACGGTTGCAGAATTTGAAGACTTCAGCAAATGTATTTCCATGATAGAGTCCCTCGGTGCTCATCATGTAGGGCTTTGCAAAGTAATACCACCTTCAAATTGGGTTGGGCGTCGCAAAGGTTATGATAATATTGACGAATGTCTGGTAGAAAAACCTATATGTCAAAGCACATATGGTGGACGTGGTATATATTTTCAGGTCTGTTTTATTAATTTTCTCAACAATCAGTGTAGGATATTTCACCCAGAAAAAGTCTCAAATTCAGTGACTTTAAAAATATTGCTTTATCAAGTATATATTGCACCCCTAAGTACAGGGACTACGATCACCTTGAAAGAAAATACTGGTCGTCGATAGGCACAAGTCGTCCACTGTATGGGGCTAATGTCAGTGGAACTTTGATGGACATTGACCAGCATATTTGGAACATTGCAAAACTCGACTCAGTACTAAGTCGGGTTTTCGAAGAAGAGGGTGTACAAATACCAGGTGTGAATACTCCATATTTGTATTATGGAATGTGGCGATCTACGTTTCCGTGGCATGTTGAAGATGTAGACTTATACTCTATAAACTACCTGCATTACGGTCTTCCAAAGTGCTGGTACGTCATACCTCCAGCTTTTGCGCGTAAATTTGAATCCTTTGTTTCCGGTACGCATTTTTTAAAAGCTAATTGTCTTTAAGAATATTTTAGGTCGGAATTCTTGAAATGTCATTGTTTCTTAAGGCATAAATGCGTTTTAATTAGTCCCACAGTTCTTTCCCAATCTGGAATCCCAACTAAGAAAGTAAGATACACTTCCAATCTCATATATTCCTAGATTTTACAACACGAAGGTGAATTTATGATAACTTTTCCTTATGCTTATCATTCCGGTTTCAATATGGGTTTTAAACATTGCTGAATCAACAAATTTTGCACTTACTAGGTGGATAGAGTACGGAAAACATGCGAAAATATGTACTTGTTGGGATGATACAGTTAAAATATGTATGGATCCTTTTGTGCGAAGATTTCAGCCCGAGTTATTTAATGATTGGAAAAATGGAAAAAACCTACCACCACATCCTCTCGATGAATATCTGCCAAAGGAAACAAGTCATCATGTTGAGAGCACACTCACATATCCAGGTTAGTTTACTGAAGATTATCTAGCCTTTAGACAGTGCCAAGGATATATTGGGTATCGAGAACAATGAGGTTATGGCCAAAGACCCTTCTCTTTTTAAACCTTACTCTTATGATTCACCGCCTCCCAAAGTTGGCGATCTGAACTCTATTGATCTGCGGTATTCCTCAAAACGTAGGTTTTTCTGGTTGAATATTATATATTGGCTACTTTATTTTGTTGTATGCATTTACTAACTTTCAAATAGATTTTACAATATTCTAACTGTATTTGCTCGTTAATTTCGACGGTAAATAGCATGGATTATAAAAACCACGAGTTATGTGGCATACAGTGACGTAACAGGGATATAGTATTATTGGAAAGCCGAGAAATCTTAACGAATATAACGAGGGCAGTTAAAACATCATATATATATATATATATATATATATATATATATATATATATATATATATATATATATAAGAAATAAAGACACAATTATATAATTTATTTTATTTGAACACAACTATTGGTACAAGAGAGCGCCAATATATATGCGTCACACAAAACAATGAGAACTCGAAGAGAAAAAAAAGGTAAGGAGCGTAAAAAAAGAACAATAAAGAAGAGATTGGTGTAAGGTAGTATAGTAACAATGAGGGAACGGAAAGGTACAATCAGAAGGAATCTTTCAGTTAAGGGAGACACAGCCACTTTTTATGAAGAAAGTAAAAGAAGGTTACAGCAGGATCGCCACTAGCTTCTATTCTGAGCCATATCTGATAACGTCTCTAGCCACTGTGTAGCACCATCTCTCGGACCCCAACCAGGGTGTCGTGAAGGACCAACAGAAGTCAGCCCTTTGCAGCTTTCTTTCATGCCACGACACCATGTCATGCACTGACCAACTCTCCGCTTCTTCCAACAAGTCCCAGAGTCGGCAAATAATGCACGACCTCGATTTCTGTAAGACGACATTCGTAGAACATGTCCAAGCCACCGAAGTCGATGTTTCAAGATGGTGACACCAATTGAATTATCATCTTGTGTCCGAACACACGACGCCGAACCTCTGCATTACTAACATGGTGTCGCCACTGGATGTCAGCAATCCTTCGGAGACAGCGATGATCGAACACAGAGAGTCGTCTAACGTCCTCAACTCGGAGGCCAGGTTTCACAAGCATAGAGCAAAACTGCTCTCACCGACGCGTTGTAGATCCGACCTTTTACAGCCAGATTAACATCACGAAGGCGCCAAAGGTGGCCCAGATTGGCATAAGCCGCTCTGGCTTTCACTATATGTGCATTGATCTTATCACTCACACCACCACCAGCACTTATGCAGCTACCTAGATACACGAACTTCTCGACTACTTCTATCTGCTCACCATGCAGGGTGAGTACAAGATTACAATCCTGCCAGTCCTGTAGAAGTACTTTGCACTTCGAAGGTGCAAAGCACATACCGTACCTACGGACATTGATTGTCAACTGATTAAGTGCGGATTGCATGCCTTGGGCGTTATAGCACAGTAAGACAATATCATCCGCATGCTCAAGGTCGAGAAGTCTTTCTCCAGGCAACAGATCCACACCACCATTACTTACATCCATCAGAGCTGTTTCCAGAATGTCATCGATGGTAAAGTTGAAGAGGAATGGTGAGATCGGGCAACCCTGTCTAACCCCACTGCTCGAATGGAACAATGGAGAGAGGTGGTTGCATGCCCTCACTCTGCCTGAGGTGTTTGTATATAGGGCTTTTAGGATGTTAATAAAATCCTCAGGTACAGCCTTCTTCAATAGTTACCAGATGCAGCTGCTGCTTCCAGCTCATTAGCACGCTCCGACCACCAGGCTTCTCGGTCCTTACTCAAGCTTTGCCTGGTTTCATTACGTAACAGCCTTCGTTTGTGGTCAAACTCACGGTCACCCGGAGTAGACCGACGGGCTTCGATGAGTTGTAAGGAACCAGAAGAAACCCAGTGCTTATAAGCGGGACTTTTCGCGAACCCACAACTGACTGTACCCGCCGTTCTCATGGCGTCATGCAATTTCAACCAATGCTCATTAATACTTTTTTCGGTGAAATGGTAGCTAGCCTAGAAGCTAGCTCGGTTCGATACTTAGTAGCAACAGAAGTTGCAACCAGCTTGCTAATATCAATCCGTTGGTGGCGGTCACTTCGTTGTCGACTGAAAAGTAAAGTAAGATTGGCGCAGACAAGGGCATGGTCAGAGTCCAGGTAGGTACTCCAAAAGGAGCGGAAGTCTTGTACACAACCACTCCAGCGGTAGCTGATCGCGATGTGATCAATCTGAGTCCAGGCTTGGGATGCAGAGGGAGGACGCCAGGTGGCACATCGGCGATGACTGTGCCGAAAGTTAGTGCTAGCCAGAAACAAGTTGTGGTCTGTGCATAGTTGCAGTAGACGGTCCTCGTTATCTGTCCTGCGACCAACAAGTCCCCATCGGCTACCTAAACGACTCTCTGTTGTGCCTAGACGTCCGACCTGAGCATTCAAATCTCCGGCTAATACTGCAATATCTGTCGAACGCACTTTCTGTAGATGAACTGTTAGATGGTGGTAAAACTCATACTTGATCGCATAGTGGTTGCAATCTGTCAAAGCATAGGTAGAGATGACGAAATGACATCGTTTTTCTCACTGATTTCATCTTTGATGAAACTTTCTAATCTAACAGCACATAAATGACTGTTAATGAGGATCTAGTCGATTAGTGCTGCCTCAGCTCTAGCGCTTAGTGCGACAACAACGCCAGCAAGACCAGACGAAGATGTCACAGGGTCCTCGGATAAACGCACGTAAGACAAGCTTTTTGAAGCAACAGATGGAGAGCGAATTTGTAGTACTTCACCAGAGTCTTGAATACGGGTCTTGGATAGACAACGAACATCGATATTAAGACTTTCCAAAGACATAGCCAGTCCTATCTGTTGTCCGATCTGCATGAATGTGCGAACGTTGAAGGCAGCCAGTTTGAATGGCGCACGTGGTTTCAGAAAAACTGCTTCAGTACTCATATTCGGTGGTAACATACAATTTTCAACCGGACAGTGACTCGAGAACATTTAGATACAGTCGAATTTCCACCAAAGACGAGCCGCTGTATAAGTATAAAAGAGGGTGAATAATGTGGAAAATAATAATAATAATAATAATAATAATTTGATTGTTAGTTGAAGCAAGTAAAGTAGTTTCCATAATTATGGGCAGTTCATCATATTTGCGTGTGGGCTATGATACTGCCCGGGCGCCCAGACCGAAGCAGGTGGTTATCTTAGGTGGCCACACCCCGAGCCTTTGACCTAAAGGTCTAACCCACAGGGCAGTGGAGCATCGTAAGGAGATGCAGTCCCATGGTAGCCGGTGACCAACGATTGGTTCATACGTAATTTGTTCCCGCAGGATACTGGAGCCCATGTGCACCATTGGTTTGGGATCCGGTTAAAGCGCCGGACATTCGCTTTTCGTCTTCTCATTTTCGTAAACAACACCCTCGCCACGAGAAGGCAATGAATAGGACTTCCCTGGCAGAGGCTGTATACGCGTGACCATGTGAGAGTATTTCGAGAGGGAGAGCGGACTCTCCCCACTCTCGGCCGTACCAGGGCATTTGGGGGCCAATTATATAATTAATTAAAGGAGACTTAAAAAGAATCTTTATGATGTAATCAGGGAGTATTTGTCACCAAGGCAAGGGAAGATTAACAACCATCTCCCCTTAAGCACGTGAATTGGGTTTCTAACGCCTGATTACAGCAGCTTCAGCAAACTTTGGAAGACTGGAACTTGACCGATTATTAACCACTTTGAGGGATTGTACGGTATCTACCTAATGTCCTGTATGCAAGAGATGTTTGGTAACTGCATTGTTTAAAGTACTTCTCTCTCTTGTTCAAAGGCCTTTTGAAACGTTCATGAACCGAACGTTGAACTGTGCCTTCTCTCCTCCGTTGTATGGCAATGTCAAAAAAGTAGAACATGTCATTTTTCTCGTGTTCCGTAGTAAACTGTGTTGAGATGAGCATTGTTAAAGAGTTCTATCAGGTGGACTGCACGGTGTTTACTGTTGCAGACAATGTGTCATCAACATATCCGGAGTATTCCACCGTTTCGCTAATCGTTTGTTTAAGCTCTCTGTTTTCAAGATAACCCATAAAAATGTTTGCCATAATTGGATATAATAGACTTCCCATTGCTACACCAATTTGACGGTATATAGCGCTATCGAACTGAAATTTGACATATTTTGTTCACATAAGTAGTATTTTTTTAGATTCTGGTTCTGGTAAAGGTAGATCAGAATTCTGCAAATTATTATCAATAATTCCAGGAAGTGCTATTTTGGTGAACAAGGATTTTACATTAAAAGAAACCATGGACTTACCAATAACATTCATATGATTTAGTCTGTCAGCAAATTGAAATGAATTTCTTAACGTATATCTTTAGCGGACTGGTTCTAGCTTATCTACTAACCAGCGTGCAACTTTGTGATACGGCGAATTAATGATTCACAGAATATCATGTTTTCTGCACCTTTGGTGGACCATATATGTGAGCCAGACATGAGCCACGATGTCGTAGATCATTGTAGGCAGAATTAGAAGTCATTTTCTTCTTAGAAGTTCTCTAAGCATGCCTGTTATTCGTTTTTCTGTTGAGTTAGTTAAATCATTGTTGTCTTTATTTGCCTTGAACCTCAATTGGTCGTCTAGGATTGACGTCATTTTAGTGGTATACTGAGTTGTGTTTATTAAAACGACACCCTAACCTTAATCTCTTCGTATGATCATTACCTTGTCGTTTGGTTTAATATTTCCTAAAGTTGTCAGATGCTCTTTGGATAGAATATCCGACTTTGATCTCGAAGTGAAATATTGGTTGGCAATATCAACTGACTCTGAATTGAACCAGCCCTTCTTTCCCTCATTCATTGGATTTAGATCTTTTAGCTAGTCAAATAAATTTTCAAATTAAGGTTCTGTATCGATCCTGTCAGTACTTGTGAGATTTGAGTCCCAGTAATAAGGCTTATGTTTCTATATTATTAAGCTTTGTATTCAATTAACTATAAATAAACTTCGGAGGGTTTTCCGAGAGCCATAAATTTAGTTGGTCCTTCATCTGAGTTTTCGAGAGAGATTTGTGGAAGTTCTTGCAAACCTTGATTTGAAGGTCGTGGATAAGGCTGATGGATTTTATCTAACATGCGATATATAAATCATTGACCACTTTATCGAAAGCATTAGCCTCAGTTTTCAGTCGTGTAATAAGTCATTTCGTCCATCCAATGTGTGATTTGGTTATACTTCAGAGGTTCTTAAGAGAATGCGAGGGTTTGCATGATCGCAGAGATTTTACAAATAGCATGAAAAACGGTGTTTACTCTTTATGTAACCACTTGTTTTCAGCCCTTTGGATCTTTGATTACTATAATTGTCGTAGAAGGTTCTTTTATATGAGGTGCAATGTTTTATTCAGTCTTAAGTTTATTTACACCCTTGATACACTATACTGATGTGTCTTTAAAGCAACTTCCAACTAGAATCTTTCATGTAGCGATTCAGACTCATTTTGTAATTATGATTTTTACATATTACAGATTGTAAGCAGCTGACGACAACCAAACGAAATAAAACGAACTCATGCTATTATGATCAAATCTTTGTTCATGCTCTCTTCAAGATGATAAAGGAAACTATGTGTTCGAAATTTATCCAATTCTCTTTTACCATCACCTACTTCATCTACTGGTCTTGTATCCGTCTTGATAATTCCATCTTCATGTGCTTTTATGGAGCTGCAATTTAGGCCGATGAACATAAGTACCAGGTTATTATGTCGCTTGAAACTGAGTGGTTGACTTGGATTAGTAGAGTGTACTGAGTTCCATTAGAGTACTCATTAATGCTTTTTATTTACGCTTCTTGTAACTTTCTTGTTCTTCATAGTTACTCATTTATTGTCAATTTCTTTGTCATATATTCGTTTGCTATTTACCTCTAATTTTAGAGTTCGAAACGGCCAAAATTCCTTTTCATATCGCTACTAATCCTCGCTTGTACCCTCTGTGGTGTGGAAATCCAGCTAATGAACAGATTGAACGAAATTTCAACATTTTCATTGGAAGTCATAAACCATATTGTGCTGTTTGCTCATTTCTGTGGACTCCTCAGGTGAACAAATCTTAGCACTCTTCTATCGGTAAACCTTTGTAAATTTGGGATCTATATGAAATCTGTACTTTTGGTAGTTGCCTAAGTGTTGGCAAAATAAGACTTTTATATAGAAGAGGTTAAGATGCAGTTGCCACATTTCACATCATCATAGAGGAAATAAATAAATGGAATAAAAAACATGGGATGTTAATTAATATCGAGAGTTATATAAACTTGAACATAAGAAATACAAGTTTTTAAGTAAGGTTGAATAGTGGCTTGGATTGTAAACCAGGACACATGTTTCTTCCTATCTGAGAAGATGCGAACCCTTACAAATTAATAGTAAAATTCATCCCAGTTGCACAGACAAGTAACTATCTGAACTTATTTATTCAGTGGATAAGGTATTGGGCGTTTAAAGTGAAAGGTACTAGGTTCGAGCCTCAGTACGAACATCAACACTGAAATGCATGTACATCTAGCTGATGAGTCCCAAACACGACAAAATCCACTTTCTGAACCCTACTGCTAGCCACTATTCAACTTGAAAAGCTGTGACGTGATGGCAATATCAAGGTAATCCGCTCAGGATGCACATGCAAAAAAGAAACTGATCAAAATTCAGTTACTAACATCAATAACAGGAGGGTAATTTTGTATTTAATTTTAAATGGCCGTTTCTAACGTAAAATACTTGAGGCCTTGTCGAACTACTGATGTGTATCAATATTTTGTCTTGATAGTTCTTAGAGTGTTTACTTGTTTTAACAGAGTAAATCTGTTAGGTTAATTCAAGATAATAATCTCTCATATTCTACTGATCCGACTATACTTTTTGAGCACTCACGTAATAATCTGATCCACCAACCTGTGTCTCAGCTATTCAATATCGTTCTCTAATTATATCTAGGTAGAAATGTTTTTGTACCATGGCTATCGTGTTATGGTCAACAATACTGTTAAGTTGTTCTAGATGTATGAAAACTATCAAATTGTATTTCAGACTTGACCCATTACTTTACTCTTAGTTTAGGAAAATACAGTCTACTTATCACTTTTGTTATCTATCATTTTAGCATGTTTCTAAGCTTTTATCTAGTGGACATCGAGAAGACAAACTACCTTTATACTCAGAACCACACATTCCCGAAGTTGCATATCACAGCTATAATTCTTCTGTACAGTTTCCTCCGACAGTTAAAAGTCGTATACTCAGGTGTTTTCGTTGTTGCTTAACTGTACATGCTAGATGTTATGGTGTTCAAGATGAACTTGGATTTAAATATGAGTCTTCATTAGAACAAAAACATAATCTGAAGTTTAAAAATCCTGGTATTGCGATGCTTGTATGGCGAGTTCAAAACCCGTAAGTTAATAATGTCATTTAATGTCTTATAAATTACGTATTGTAATCGTATCGTTGTCATGATGAATGAAATGATTATAAACTGTGACAAAAATGTGATTCTGTTAGTAATAATATGTACTATTTTTGTCATAACATAGTGTACCATTCAACCGTGCTGTACTATTTCATTAAACCACCTTTGCAAGAATAATACCTCCAGATACTTCAAGTCTTATTTTTTAAGTGACTAATCGATATTTATCTTTATCCCAGGATGCGATTCTACAGACTTCAAGTAAAATTCATCCTAAAGTGTTAATATCAACTTTTAACCCAGACATTCTATAATTTACCTCGTTTAGTGCAGTATTAAACTTTGATATGCCAGCGGTAAAAGAACCAGTAGCAACTACGTATGCTTATATTTTTCTCTTTTGAGGATAATTGGCCGTTACGAGATATTAGTAGTACAGATGGTTTCCATGTTTTTAGTTGAAGCATGCTTCAGTAAATAAAGTGTGTGATCTAGAATAAGGTTAAATGAAGTGTTTCTAGGCCATTCGATTATATTCTCATTTATGCGTAAGCTGTATTATGAACTATCCCTCTTTTATATCCGTTCAATAGCTTGATAAAATAATGTCCAACAAGATGTTTAGTATGATCAACCTACTGAGTGTATATGTTATGAAGAGGGGTATTTTATCTTCAACACACACACGCACACACGAATGACTCCATGGGAATATTTCTGACTAAAAAATTAATGGAATCGGGTCCATACCACACATAATCGTCACCAGTTATATCAAAATTGTGAATATACGACTAAATAATCAGTAGTGCTAAAGAACTTTGAGTTTAGTTCTACGGCCTTCTGTTAATCTTATCCAATTACTTGACGTCAAAGCAAAATATAACGCAACATCAAATCAGTTAGGGTAGTGGTTGTATAACGCAACTTGACCGATATTTTGTTATTAGCATTCACTGCTATACAATATAGCATCGTGCAGTTTAAATTACAAATTTTTCTGTGTTAAACAACCACTGAAAACATGTAAACACTAGACAACTGTTTTGTTTTAGTATGAGATTCCTCATTAGTGGACATCTTCAGTGATCGAACCCAAAACCTTAATGCCTTACAGAGAGTGATTTGCCTTAACACAACTAAGTTTGGATCCAATGGTGTATATGTCTAACGTAAATCAAATTCGCATTATTTAGCGTCCATCTCCTAATGTCATTGATGGGTATCTTCTTCACACGCGGCGTAAGTAAATTCCGGGAATTATCTCTAGAAAAATTGCTTTTATGAAACTAAAGACAGTTCATTCTGTATCTTTACAATCGAGAGTTAGAATAGTTTCATAATAGATGTTGATAAAAAGCAATCATTCTTATGACTTATTAAGATGTACAATTTATTAGCAAACTGGGTTATTCATATTAAGCAAGTAACTGCATACAAGAATTGTCATGCAGATTTAATTATCTTAGTCTATTGCACCGTTATTTTCGATTTTTCCATTGTAAATAATGAAAATATAATAAGCAAATGCTTATTCATTTATATATTGTTATTATTGTTTTAAAGTTTCATTATAGCATAGGTATCAGTTATATAGTTCAAAGAATAAATACTATCCACGTGAATTATTGGTTATGTGGATTAATGATAAATTGTAAAATCACACACAAATTATAGTATATTCGTTTTTTATCTTGATTATGAAGTTTATTTAATAGTTTTTTCATTAACTGTTATTCACTTTTCCGAGATTTCTGGAAAAAATTTCCCATCCGTATGTTTGGTTTGTTTAATACTCAAAACTTCGATATTTTAAACGATTTTTGATATTATTCATGTTAATTCTCATAATATTTCACGATTTCCCGAAAGCTTATCAAGAGCTACTTAAGTGAATTTGAAGTTATAGGAGGTTAAACGTTCGCACACGAAACCGAAGTTCCTGAGTTTGATGCCCAGTGAGGTCGTTAATGCTCATCGCTAAGGAGTTCCACACGTAGTCGAGACGACTGTCCAATTCTTCATAGTTCTTAATGGTTGTTTAGGTAAGATTGCCCCGTGGTCTTAATTATGAAACAAAAAAATATATTTATTCATCGGTTGTATTCTTGTAAATAGTCTTATGAGGTCCATTTTTATCAGATGGTTTTGTCAAAATGTTCAATTAGGGTGTACATTTGTGAGTTACTTTTACCTTATTATATACACAGATTCATTTTAGCTCAGACAGTCATATATATATATATATATATATATATATATATATATATATATATATATATATATATTTGTTTATTTGCATCTGATTATTTTACAGACGTGTGTATTCTGTTATATGCGCGGAGGAGCTATTAAAGCACTAGCCAACATAAATAATGCATTTACTGGACGACCTTACTGGGCACATTTAGTTTGTGCACTAATTACTCCAGGTTGCTATTTTGAAGATGTGCCTAAACGATTAGCATTTATTTCTGAAGACACGATCAAATCAGCTATATCTTCAGCTATATTATATTCCAGCGAAAGTAATAAACGTGTGATTAATGAAATGCAAAATATCAGTTCGCCAAGTTGCTTCTCTGAGGCTGTTCCCTTCAAATCTCCAAGTTATTTACAGAAGAATTTGAAATTAGTGCGTAAGAGACCACCTAATGTTGATAAAAAAATTTTACGAGAATATTATGAATCACCTGATCAGAGAAGTAAAATATGTCGATTAAACAAATCGAAGTAAGTTTTCTTTCATGAGATAATTACTTAGGTTTGCTGTTTTATGGTAACTAACTCCTTAACATAAATATTTTTTTGTAAAGGTTTGTGTTATCTGGTTGTTGATATTTTTACTGAAATTCGATCAATCCTAGTTGACATATGTTAATTCTGTGAGCCTCGATATAGCCATTATGATGTAAGTGTATAGAATATGCTTAGCAGTGGAATCCAGAACTCATGTTTCATTCTATTTGGGACCCGTTGAACACGTTTGTGGCTATGTAGACTCAATAGCTGGGTAGGTAACTCGTTGGAGTTTGAAGCTAAAGGTACTGGGTTTGAATTGCGGGGCGGACATCAGCTTTGGGATTCAGATACATTCAAGTAGAACGAAATGTGCCTCCCGAACTTTACTGCTAACCATGTTTCATCTATTTTAGAATGGATCGGTCTTGTGAACACTCAGGATCGTCACTGACCATCTTCGTTTTGCTAAACACCAACTAGCTCTCGGTCAAACATCATCGCCAGATCACGTTACGGTCTACCGTGGGTAGCTTCTCCTGTTCTCACGTTACGCTATCTTTACATGCAACCAAATATATTCTTCTTCCCGAAAATCGCCTTCCCTGCTTATCTTAGTGCTTCATCAGACACTTGGTTATCAATGTTAACAGATTCTGTCCTATGTAGGGCATATGCAGGTGTACTTGTTTTGTTTTTTCTCTTCAGTTATTCAACCACCAAATATTGTTGATAATAATATATGACTAAAAATAACAAAACTATGAGTATTAAATTGTAAATGATAGAAATATATCAATACATTTCTCCTTTGAAAAGGTCTGGTTCCTTAAGACTTTGTTCTAATACATATTTGACTTGCCTTTTTTCTCCTCTTTTATTTCACAGTAATCGTTTTTCACGAAAGCTACTCAACACTACTTCCACAGTTTCAATTGATTTTAATTTTAAAAAAATAAGACCATTCATTCAGAATAATAACAATGGGATTTCTAGTGTTCATCATTCTGACAATACTAACATACCAGTTGAAACTGGAGACAAAATTGCATCATCTCTTCCTTCAATATGTTTTGTGTGTCAATTACCTGGGAGAGGATTTCTTCCATTGGCTTCTTGCTGGCATAATGGTTGTTCTACACAGTTTCATGTTACTTGTGCTCAAATGGCTGGTATTGTTATTGGAACTGATGTATATCCTCGGTTCTTTTATATCGCATGCAGTAAACATCCTACTAACTACGATCACGTAAGATTGTCCGTTGTGCGTTTATATTTATCAATACAATACTCATTATTTTTGGTATTCAGTCAAAACAACATATAGTAAATAACTTTTGACAAAATTCACTATACTTCACTATATTTCTTGATTTTCACATAATGCCTGGTACCTTTTTGAACTCTTTGATGCCAGGATACTTGCATTGACATTAGTACAAGTGGGATGAAGAGTCAGATAACTTCATCTCGTGTAGAGGAACTCCTCTGGAGTACAGCAGTATGATTCCTCTATTATTTAGCTGTGAGGTTTGTTTATTTATGATAGGTGACATGTCATAGACATTTGATCATTGGTTATTTTAGAAGGAACTGGCCCTATTAGGTGTAATGACCAATGATCAAATTTCAACACAAAGTGAGAGGTAGAGGAGCCAGTAGACAGTCGTTTGTGCGCTGTCCGACTAAACGGAACAGTAAGAATCCGAAAAGATAGGGGTACTCGTCGTTGCCTCTTCGTCGTCTCTGCCTATTCTCCCACTCACTGCAGCTCAGAAGATGTAAAAGATGAGTTTTATAGAAAGCTCTCCGACCTTCTCCGAAAAGCTAGGCGCTCGGGTGTAGTAATAATGGCCTGTGACTTTAATGCTCAAGTAGGTAAACTAAGCGATAGGGAAAGACACCTAGGTGGATCTTATGGTGTCGTGGCTCAAAGAACAGATAATGGCGACCTTCTGTTGCAGCTATGGTCAGATAACCGCCTGTTCCTTGCAAATACTAACTTTAAGCATAAGGAAAAACATCTTTTAACATGACGACCCCCTAATTCGTCCCAACGTTGGGCCGAACTAAATCACATCGCTATCAGCCACCGATGGAGGGGCTCGATAGAAGACTGTCGCTCATTCTGGAGCACATGCTTAGATTCAGATCATGCTCTAGTACGAGCGCGTATCTGTCTGCGTCTTACTGGACGTAGGAGAGACGCTGCAAGGAAACCTCTTAGGGTCCTGTAGTGATGCCCACCCCGAGGCAGCATGGAATGATATCCGAAAAGCTGTGGAAACAGCAGTGATATCTGCTAGTAAGGTAAACCGTAAGGTTAGGGAGCAACACTGGATCTCAGCAGCATCTATCGCACTGATAGATGCTCGGAAACTCATTCCACCTGGCTCTGAACATAATGAAGAGCGGAGTCAGCTTAAGCGCAAGCTGACAAGAAGTCTACGCAATGATCGCGAACAGTGGTGGGTAGCGAAAGCAAGAGAGATGGAAAAGGCAGCGGCAATAGGTAATAGCAGACAATTGTTCAGACTTGTTAAGGAAACCGACTGTTAGCGAAACAATCTCAGAGAAAGATGGACATATTATTCATTCTCAATCCAGGAGATTGGATCGATGGGCAGAACACTTTAGGGATCAGTTCAACTGGCCTTCAGCCACACTTCGGTTTCCCACGATCTCCAGTCAACCTGAATGGCAAGTTAATGTAGGTCCTCCGTCTTTACGAAGTTGAAAAAGCCATAGGAAATCTGAAACGAGGGAGAGCAGCAGGCCCTGACAGGTTTACTCCTGAGATTTTTAAGGATGGTGGTCCAGTATTAGCAATGAGATTAACTGAGGTCTTAGGTAGAATTTGGGAACTGGACGTAATCCCATCTGACTGGTCTCAATCACTGATTGTGCCAGTCTATAAGAAAGGACAAAAGTCCTCTTGTGACAATCACAGAGGAATCAGTTTGACTAATATAGTGTCTAAAATATTAGCTTCAATAATACTTCGACGCCTAACTAAAGCTCGTGAAGAGCAGACTAGAGAAAACCAGGCTGGTTTTCGACCTGGACGTGGTTGTATAGATCAGATATTCACACTACGTCAGGTTCTAGAACACAGACACACATTCAGACGCCCCACAATGGTAGTATTTCTCGACCTTAAGGCGGCATTCGACTCTGTTGATCGTGAGGTTCTATGGCAGTGTTTGTCACTGAAAGGAGTACCAAAGAAGTACATTAACCTTATAAAGGCTCTCTACTCGAACACAACTGGTAGAGTGAGAGCTTATGGCGAACTGTCATCAGAATTGATTACCTCAAGTGGTGTTCGTCAGGGCTGTCCACTCTCCCCATTCTTGTTCAACTTTGTCGTCGACGTACTTTTAGAGATAACACTCTCCTCATCTAAATTTCCAGGGGTTGAACTTCTACCGGGAGGTTCACTTGTTGACTTAGAATATGCTGATGACATAGTTTTATTTGGTGAAGACGCTGACAAAATGCAGAGTCTTCTGACCACTCTAAGCAACAATGCAAGCATGTTCGGGATGCGATTCTCCCCTCGAAATGCAAAATGTTGCTTCAGGATTGGGTTACATCGACACCCGAACTAATGATAGGGAGTGAAGTAGTTGAGTGTGTCGACCGCTTCACTTATCTTGGAAGTCTCATCAGCCCTTGTGGTTGGTGTGTGACGAAATCTCAGCACGGATACAGAAGGCTCGACTAGCTTTTGCCAACTTGCGTCATTTATGGCGTAGGCGAGATATCCGTCTATCAACCAAAGGACGTGTTTACTGCGCAGCAGTTCGTTCCGTCCTACTTTATGGCAGTGAAACATGGCCGGTAAGAGTAGAGGATATCGTAGGTTACTAGTATTTGATCATAGGTGTCTTCGAAATATTGCTCGTATATCCTGGGACCATCGAGTAAGTAACGCAGTTGTTAGGAAACGGGTACTAGGTAAGGATGGCAAATCAATTGATGACGTAGTGAAACTTCATCAGTTGAGATGGCTGGGACACGTGTTACGTATGCCCAACGACCGACTGCCTCGACGTGCGATGTTCAGTGGTATAGGAGTAGGTTGGAAGAAAGCTAGGGGCGGCCAGACCAAAACATGGCACAAGTCCATGAAGTCACTGACAAGTGGACTGAGTCATGTTGGTAGGTGTAGACTACCTGGTTGGGGACCGCGAGATGATAGCAACCGATGGTTAGAGACCCTGAATGACATGGCTCAAAATCGTTTGCAATGGCGCAGGTGCATCCACTTTTTGTGTTCTCCCAAATTTTAATCTTCTGATTCCTCCTTGTCTCTTTTTTTCTCTTTCCAAATTTATTTCACTGTATTATACTCTTTAAATAACATCTCCAAACACTAATCTTCCCGATTACTGCTTATACTCTTATTACCTCTACCACTACGGGATTTGAATCGACCACTGCATCTCTGTGCTAATGTGGTGTGGCAACTCGAACTGATGTACGTACGTACGAAGTTCTACGTTGTTACTGACTGACTGAGGTAGAGAAGTCTGTAAATTTTGCATTGATTAAAGCGTATGAGCTTGAGTGATTGAACTTGATCTTGAATAAATCCATGGTTCTGTGTTGTAATCCCTTGATATATTGTGTGTATATGCTGTATGTTCCAGTAATTCAAGCCATCTTTTGGATTCGGATTAAATCTTTATATATTTATACAACACGATTTGTATTGGTTTTTAAATCATTCTTAGTTCCTACTAAATTTTTTATACTGATGATCACAGATTCTTATTTTCCAAATAATCTATCATGACTTTTTGTACTAACCTAAAAGTGTTCATTCGTATTTAATCTTTTGCTTCTCTTTTGAATACAAAAAGCCAAATTTTCACGATCACGGTTCCGTTTCCCCAGGAGATGAAGTAATGGTACAAGAAACCAATGATCCTATATTTTCATCCGCTATTGCTATCCGACGAGTAACTCCTCTATACTGCCGTATTTCGTTTCCCGATGGAACCTTCTCATCAGATACACCACCAGAGTATTTGACAGTAGGAACACTTTTTAACCTTTAATTTTATATACTTTTATACGTTGCGATTATTAGAGTAGTTCACAAATTATTGTGAATGTTAATGAGTATTCTCAATAATTCATACGTACCAATTCTTATTATTGAATAAAATTAGTGTTTTTAAAGGCAGTAATGAATCTAGTCTTCTCTTCACTTTTAGAATGTTAATTGGTTCAAAGATGGACCTCCAGAAAAAGGATCACTTATTAAAGTGTTATGGGATGATGGAATGGAATATGCGGGAACGTATGAAGGTACTACTTCTGAACAGTGGGAAGTAAGTGTAATTATTGTTTAAATATTGGCCATATATTGAAGTTGTAAAATGTTCACATTTATTTCCTTTACACACATTTTGTCAAATAATCAAATGTTTGAGTCAAGCATATGTTGATGTAACGATGTGTAGATCAGGTTTCCATATTTTCTGCCAAGAAGATCAAAGGTTGTCTAGTTTTTCGTTATTACATGTTATTTCGTTGAAGGATAACTCCGATGACATTTTCCCTAATTCATATTTTCACAACGACCTTTCCTGTTATCTGACTGATTGTTATTGTTTTTTAGTTTACTAACGTTGTTAAGTGCTCCAGAGTCATTACATGTTACTGTATAAACAGTTGTTCAGTTTTCGACATCTGTTCGAAATGTAAATCTCTCCTAGAAGTACCACTTCCTCTATCTCATATTGGTGGGTAGATTGTAGAAGTTGTAATGTGATTGCCTGCCCAGACGTCTGGTCTATTTGAGTTTATTCGTTGTGTTCATGCTGGAGGATTCTTAATTGTTCATAAATTGAACTCACTGTAGGTCATCCGGAAATCCCAATCTGTATTCGTTTTTATCGATATTTAACAGTTTCACATGTCTGGATATCATCAGTGGACTTGGGATACAAAAGGTTGTGAATATTACTTTAAAAACCATCCAGTACTCTTTTGCTTCTATTATCAAACTCATATGAACGAAAGAATCATAAATGTTTTGATGATGTTAGGCAACCTTCCAGCAAATAACAATAGTTATATTTATACATATACTAGGCAACACATTAAGAATAAATTTCATTAACAAACAATTCAATACTATAGAGTGGTGTCTCATGAGCGAGAGAATAAAAACATTTATGTTGGAATTTAGTTTGGTTATGCTTTGTATTTATTCACCAGCTGCTTCAAGTAACACTGAACATATTTTCAAGAGCATCCACGTTCTATTAGTGAACACTTATCGTCCTATTAGCTTGCTAGCTGCTCTTGGATAAAAATCTATCATTTTATTGTTTATTCATACTAAATGCACCTTCAATAAACATGTTATGTATTATATTGTCGTGAACGAAAACTCTGATACCCTATACCAATTTAATGTTATATGCAAAATTACACGGTGCCTTTACAAAATATGAAAATCATACATTAAATTATCTGTACATCTTCCTTCAGTTGTCCTTTACGTACTCCATTATTCTTTCAATTCTTTTGTTATTCCGGTCGCTCTCTGTTTCGCTTTTTATTCTCTTTAATTAAATGTTTTGCTGGCAAGCATCCCACTTCCGATTGCTGCTGCATACTACCAAAATCTGGCAAAATACGTAGCGTACACCACACTCATCCCGCTTTCAAAAGAAGGTCACTTGCGGTCAATCTGCTCGACGTGCCGCTTTCTAGGTTGTCGCAGTCTGTGCCACGCCATTCGTCGGAATGTCGCATTGACCTTTTGGGCCATCTAAATCCGATGTCATCTCAGCACCAAAAACGTTTCGCATCTAGTGAGATAAGGAGAGAAGAAAGGAAACTGATGAGAAATCGGAATAACAACGGAATTGAAAGAATAAAGAAGTACGTAAAGCACAACTGAAGGAAGATGTAAAAATAATTTATTTGATGTATGATTTTCATATTTTGTAAAGGCACTGTGTAATTTTGCATATAACAATAAATTAGTTTAGCGTATCTGAGTTTTCGTTCACGATAATATTTTCATTTTAAACAAATATTTCCACTTTTATAGAACAGATAAAGAAAATCACGGAGTTTCGTCCGATTCGGTTTTCTTTAATGTTGTACATCGTTTGCGGCTTTTCATATATTTGAAGAGATAATTTCAGTAGAGAGATGTTTAGAAATCAGATTTCGATGTAGAATCAATTAAATCTACAGTGAATGTGTTGATACGAATAAAATTAATGTCTGTTGTATCGATCCATGATGTAATGTGACTGCAATAAGTAAGCCTAATATTCAGGCATTAATTCCGTTGGTGATTGGATAACCTATAATGCTTGTGACCGCCAACCGCTAATTTATTAAATGAGTTATAATCATACTTTTGTGTTCATTATTGTGTATAGGAGCGTGTTATTTTCTTAATAAGAAAACACCAGTTCTGCTGGTCATCTGTCTTGTTTTCTGATATCAGTTCAATTTGAGGGCTCGTGTTCAGTAATTCGGTCTCTGAATTACTCATCACTTATTTACTTTGTATCAATTCATCCCTCTCATCTATCTGTCTGGATTGGATCAATTTATTATAACAACACACAACTTATCAAATGGCGGAATTTCGGTTTATGATGTGTAACTGCAATTGTTTGATAACAATTTTAGTGTTTTTTTGGAATATATTTTACAACAGAAAGTCTAATGAATTCATCTCCTGTGTCTAATTTATGGAAATTAGATTAGTTTTTTTATGTCGTCTATTTCGAGTATTTATTCTTTTCGGTATTAAGATGACAATCAGTAGTCAAGTAAGTACATTAAATATATATTTGTTGTTGTTTTGTTGTTCAACTTGTAAAAAAAGGTATCTCATTTATTTATTTTTGATTAATTCATATTATTCTCATAGCTTTTCCCATAGTTTCAATTTGTTCAGTAATTTGTTTCTACTTCACAATAGGTTCAACTGGAATCTGGAGAGATTAGAGTATTTAATCGTGAACAGTTTTATGTACAACCAAAAACTAAATATTCAGATAGTAAGTCAAAACAATGCATTAGGTTTTTTCTTTTATCCATTCCTCTTTATCATATTGTTAGATAAATGTAAGAAAATTAATTACTAGCCTTAATGAGATTGTTTTGGTTGCAAACTAAATTATATACTAACAAGTATGATATTTGAAATTAAAAGGAAGTCACGGTGTAGTATTTTATTCATCAGTCTTCTGGTCGGTTACTAACTAATCTCCGTGACCAAACTCTGAACTAATTAAATGTCGATTTCATTTCAATAATTGATTCTTGTTGTTGAGTGTTTTACACCTTGAAGATGGTCAGCTGAAATTAATCATTATCTCGCTTTATTTAATTAAGCTAAACTTGCATGGCAAAATCTTTGGAGACAACTTATGTGATAAGCTTTTGTTGAGTCGATGTTTCTCGTGGGTCATGCAGATTTGTCATTAAGTTTTCCAGCTTTCATCTCGTCCTGAACCATTATATTATGATAAAAAAGTTATTTAAACTGTTACATCCTCTACTTGATTACGGCTAATACGGTATTCGGCTTCAGTACTCAAACACGCAGAACCCACAATTTCAAAGTCGAAAAAAGACACAAGAAAGCAGGAGAAGTTTTTATTAAGTGTCGAAAATGTACAAAAAGGTGTACTTGTAATTTTTCTGGTGTGGGCTATAACAATTTTAATCCAGCCAATTCACTACTATATGAAATTGTTTATTTATACCATTTTATTTATTTGAACACATAAATATTGGTACAAAGGGGCATCAAATACATATGCACCACACAAAAAATTTTCGGTGGAACGTTAGCTGCCCTTGAACCTAGCTCGGTTTGATATTGAGTTGCGAGAGAAGCTGCAACTTATTTACTGACACCGATCCGTTTAGGACTATGAATTTGTTGGCCACTGAGGAGTAAGGTAAGATTAGCTCAAACAAGGGCATGATCAGAGTTCAGATAGGTTCTCCAATAGGAGCGGAAGTCTTGTACACAACCACTCCAGCGGTAGCTGATCGCGATGTGATCAATCTGAGTCCAGGCTTGGGATGCAGAGGGAGGACGCCAGGTGGCACATCGGCGATGACTGTGCCGAAAGTTAGTGCTAGCCAGAAACAAGTTGTGGTCTGTGCATAGTTGCAGTAGACGGTCCCCGTTATCTGTCCTGCGACCAACAAGTCCCCATCGGCTACCTAAACGACTCTCTGTTGTGCCTAGACGTCCGACCTGAGCATTCAAATCTCCGGCTAATACTGCAATATCTGTCGAACGCACTTTCTGTAGATGAACTGTTAGATGGTGGTAAAACTCATACTTGATCGCATAGTGGTTGCAATCTGTCGGAGCATAGGTAGAGATGACGAAATGACATCGTTTTTCTCACTGATTTCATCTTTGATGAAACTTTCTAATCTAACAGCACATAAATGACTGTTAATGAGGATCTAGTCGATTAGTGCTGTTTCATCTCTAGCTCTTAATACGACCCTAACGCCAGCAAAACCATACGATGCAACAGGGTCCCCGGATTAACGCACCTAATACAAACTTTTCAAAGCGACAGTTGGAGAGCGAACTTGTAGTACTTCGCTAGAGTCTTAAATATGGGTCTCCGAATGACAACAGACGTCATTTTGTTTGTGTGTGGGTTGTAATACTGCCCGAGTGCCCAGATTGAAACAGGTGATTTTCTTTGGGGGCCACACCCGGAGCCCTTAACTTAAAGGTCTAATCCACAAGGCAGTGGAGCACCGTCAGGAGATGCAGTTCCTGGTATTTTGTGACCAGTAACTGTCCCGTACTCCATTTGTTCCTTCAGGATCCTGGAGCCCTTGTTTACCACTGGTTTAAAATCAGGATTTTCTAACTTTTAGGTGGACCCTCCGTATCCACCAACCCAGTTAAAACGCTGGACATTCACTTTTCGTCCTTCCAGTTTCGTAAACAACACCCCCACTGCGAAAAGACAGTAAGTAGGACCTCCCTAGCAATGGTTGTATGTTCGTGGTCATGTCAGAGCGTTTCAAGAGAGAGAGAGCTGATTTTCCCCACCCTCGGTCGTGCCGGCGCATACCACCTCGATATTCCAGAAAGTTCTTTCGGATTCTGGTTGGATGGAATTCCTTTGGAATTTTTAGAGCCTCTGGGGCTTTGTTGCGCTTTGTGGGAGCCGTCCGAACTCCTCGAAGTCAGAGTTACCTTTGGGGTCTGCTTACACCTTGATAACTGGCTTGTGGCTGCATTCTATCTTTTTTAGTGTCTTCATTATCCGCTTCCTCATTCTTTTGTTCTTTACGGTGTCCTTTGGCGTTTCCTCCATTGAAGTATCATTGATTATCTCCAGTGGTAGATTCACCTGCATGTCTTCCGTGTTCCTTGTCCTCTTATTTTTATGGATTTAGTTTGTATTTCTGATCAGAGTTCTAAGCGCCCCGCGCACTTTGTACAAAATATTTCCCATTCTTTCTTCAATAATTCCATTTCCCCATCGATTTTGGACCTGGTATGATTTGACGTACGTCAAGACTACGAATATAACTACTTTCTCTTTTTATGCGGTACCTTCGTGTTGAAAATCATCCCGATATTACCACTCGTGTCGAAGATCCTAGCAACGATTAATTCGTTGGGCGCAACTATATTCTACTAATCTCTCCAACCCTTTTGGTTGAAGCTGCTAGTAGATCTTCCGTTTCTGCAGGTGTTTTGGTATCTGGAGTAAACATTGACTAATTTTCCACCTAGCTGTTTATAAAATATACTCTTGACATTTACGTCGTTAAGTTGAACTCTAGTCTTATTGCTCTGACTCTTCTGCGTTCAGTACGATGCATACAAATGCGTGCTCATACTAGAACATGATCAGAGTCTAGACATATGTTCTAGAATTGATGACAGTCATCCCCTAAGCATCTTTAACGACGGCTTTGGGCAACATGATGCGGTGTGGACAGACGTATGTGATTTAAATTAAGAGAAGAGGGATAGCAACAGGATTGGGAGATTTCATATTTTACGAAGGCAATTTGGTTTTTCACAAAACAATAAACCGGTTTTCCCCACCAAGTCTTTGTTCATTACAATAATTTATTTGCATCCGTCTGTGGGTCGATTGTAGAGTTGCCATGTCAGGCGATTCGATTTCTTAGTTGCAGGTTGATGCTTGCTAGAAAAGCGTGTGTACCTGAACATAGTTGAAGGATTCAGTACTCACTATATTTATACTGAGTTGCAATACATTGATACTAAAATGACTTCCGGTTTAGTATAGACTGCTTGCTTTTTGGGCATTAAAATCACCTGTCATCGTTTTTTGTTTGGGGTTTCAACCTTCTGAAAGAGAACGGAATCCGTCCCTTTTCCGAATTTCTACCTCCCCATTTAGTTGCACGGCGTGTAAGAGACTGACTCTCGAACTGTAGTCCCTGAGAGCCTGTTCTGCTTTGAAAGCTAACTTTACACTTACATTAGTGAGGTCATGATAAGCATTAGTCAGGTCCCCAGATACAGAAAGGGTAAATCTCGCAAACTTTTCATATTGACTTGGTGGAGCACTGATGGGATGTCGTGATAAGGTCGTAGGGAAATGACATCATAGGGACAGGGCAATTACTATGAGGTGGCGAAGGAATTCGATCTTGTTCAAGGTAGTTTTGAATGTCGTTAGGGGGTTGATGACAGTTGTTCCTTTCGCGGTTGCCCACACTGTAGAATATTATTTTTCAAGGGACCCAACTGATTAACTTTCTAATCGTACTTAAAGTTTCAATGCAAATTTTCAGTATGCATATAGGGATTGGCTTTAGTGGTAATAAGTTTGGAGAGATCAACGTATCAATAAGTTTTTACAGAAAGCTATTTACTTTAACTCAGTCTGTTTACCAGTCCTGTACAATATTTTTATTTTTCGCAGATTTGGCTTTTGATGGTTCGTCTACTGATTATCCATGGGCAATAACAGATCTTGAAGATTCAGTCGCTCCCTCGAATTCATAACATGACTTTTACAGTACATATATATTAACCATGTTTTGCATTTTACTGATTGTATATAGTGTTTTTAATAGGATTTATTTTTTTAGAGTTGACGAACTTTTATATCAACATAAATTCTTATATTTCTTGACTAATTAATTTCGACTCTGGTTACTTGGTGGCGACATTTGAACCTAAAAATGATGAATATATTTCACACTACTAACTCGTGCGTCTATTTGCTCATTATTCATAAATCACTTAACATTTTCAACAATGCTAACTGAATACCTAGCTAATGATTTAAAAGCCTTGTGAAACGTATTTGTTGTTTGTGTGCATGATATTGGCCGACTGGTACCGATCAACACATAGTAGCTGCACGATCCTTGAAGCTAAACATAAAGATTAGCCTTTGGACAACTGTGAAAAGTCAGAATATATAACCACAAAGACAATCGAAATATCGTTGCTCGACCATGTGGACTTGATCATTCTGCGTGACCTCAACCTTTTTGAATCAAATATATTATTCTACTCCCCAAACTATGTGTTCTAAAAAGGTTCATAAACAGCATACTACTGACTAACGGCAGAACAAATAAGTATAGAGAATAATGCGACTTCTACATAAGATCTTGTAGCCTGCGTATTCAGTATGGCGAGTTTATGATATCAGAATCACCAGGGATTTAGTCGTATACTTTACCTTGATTTATTGATCCCTCTAGTAGTGCGAAGTCATACTCTTAACGTAAACCTTGTATAAACTTATAATCTTGAGGTCCGCTATACCGCAGAGCCATTAAACCAGGTAACATTGGTGGCTGTCCCATCCTAGTCTGGAGGCTCACGTACTATGGACATCGAGGGTCCCGATTCCGACACATCGTGTACGTTGATAGTGTTAAATAAAACGGCGGGCCACAAAGCACTTTATGCTTGTACTGTTTCATTTTCCATAACATGATCAAACTTGTAATTATTTTTGGGATATACATCAATATCATTGAAGCAAGTGGTCTTTTTGAGGTCGCGACGTGAATTCTATGCTTTTTTTCTGTAATGAACTACCTTTTCGTAAACACAATAGGGCTATGATGTTATATAGTTAGCGTCACAGTAGGTTTCCTATATCTTGTTGAGTATTGCGTCGAATTTTTCAATGCCACAGGCTGAAAGGTCTAACACGAAGTAAAGTACCCCAAAAGAGATCCGTTCACCCGTCTTTAAAAAACCAACGTGGACGGGCCAATACCTTAGTCACAATAGTTACTGTCCAGTGCAATACAAACGAGGTCCGGTGAACAGTCTGTCTAACGGGGTTGATCGTGTTCGCACAAACGACGCTATTGATGATGATGCTAGGTTGTTAAACAAAACAGTGCAAACTGGCTACCCCTTAAAATTCATAAGTAGATGGAAATGTAACGGTATATTGAGACGTACTATAACCTTGGCAGAAAGGAAGCTGTCTGCATCAGTTTTCGTTTTGGAGGTGATTCAAGTAGCTTTTTACTGATACAAAGGCTTAAATAAGTTGTTGACAGGACATATTACGCAGTAAAGGTCGTAATGAAGGACAAAACAAGGTCCATGACTCAGCGAAAACATAAAAGTTATGAAAACCACTGCGCCACGTGCCACTGTGTTTATCATTTTGAATATGTGTGTGTGGCCACACATACATGTGGAGGAGTAATCGTGATCTCCAAATTAGGGTGTGCAAACATGTACGTAAGTGGTTGCATGAACAAATAAAATCAACTGATCCAACAATAGTAGATGATAAACATCCATCATTCTCTATTGCCAGACACGTGCTTGGAACGGGTAATAAGATTGATCTTAACACGGTTTTTGTGGTGTTGTAAAAAAGTGTAAAAGGGTGTATTCTGAGGTTTGTTGAAGCCTTAAGCATATGAAAATTGAAACATACTCTATGTATTCAAAAACGTTTGTTCTCATTTTAAATCTGTCCTGGTAATATTAGTTTATTACTCAGCGTGATGAGGCCTCAAGTTGTTTTCCATATTATTTTCTTTATTATCTTTGTCTCCACTTACCCTCCATTCCCAGTCTAGTTGAACCTTTATTTTTATATGCAAATTTTCTTAACAAGAATATACGTGATCAGATTGTTCGGAATGCATTGCGCTAATATCTTGCGTAGTTCTGATAATCTCCCTATTCTTAATACGCTGTCCGAATTTATGAAAGGGACTGATTGCTTCGAACATCATGACCATTTTTCTTACTTATAAGGGACTTGATTTTCAGAAATGCCATCTGAAAGATACATCACACTGCACGACAGTTTATCACTTACGCATAATAGAACAGAAGAGAATCGAATGGAAGTCATCTAATTTTCCACCTATACTGTCATATGTAGAAGCACTATGAGGATAACTAGTCGTTTGTAACAGTTCACAGGTGAATAGTGTTGGCCGTTTGAGCACAATCAGATGTAACGAGGATGGGGATATTGTGTTTACAAAGCTGTCCTGAAACGTTCTTGGAGAAAATTCACTGACTGACGTTAATATTCGTAATAATAATACTACCACCTTTACTCGAGTTTGTCCAATGCCCTGATCGCATCGCCACCTTAACTGGTTTCTCACCTATGTGAAGCGGACTTGTTAATGGCCTCATTTCGAACTTAGGATTCATGGACATTCAATGGAGACTCGGTTGTCGATTGATATATGCTTATAGATGCCAGTTATATCTACATCGTATGCTATATGTTATATGCTATCTTGCTTCCCAGAAAGTGTTTAGTTCCAGTCCGTGGTGTGCTCAAGAAAGTTCACTGAGTTACAAGTTCATCTTAATCTCGTCTTTTAATTTATTTCGCGTCCTCGACCGTTTATCAAAACATGGTGCCAAACAATCGTTAATTTCTGGGAGCATAACATCAAAATCTCAATGTTAATAGGTAATGATAAATGCTCAGCATTTGTTTGGTCGAAATGCTGAGTAAGAAGCTCGATAAACGTAAGCAAGAGTCTTGTTGACTTTCGATGATATCCTGGTCAGCCGTCGACAACGAATCCAGAGTTCTTGTATTGCAGGCGAGTGAGTTTAAGCCTTCGCTTGAAGCAGTCAATAAAAAAATTATAATAGACATTGAAAATCTGCAGTAGCAATACTTGAGGCATCAGTTACAAGTCATCTCCCAGGGTTTCCCTAAACTTTGGTTAATATCCTGGCATTCAAACATATGTACATTGAATTTCTCACGAGAACGTTATTTTTTAAAGTTGGAGTGCATATTAAAATCACTTTCATTTTCAAACTAGTTTACTAAAAGGTAGATTTGGCTGTATTATATATGTGATAATTTCTTGATGAGTAACAATTGGGGTTTAATATTCGTGAGAATACCTGTTGCTCTGAGGACCCGTAGTGAGTTATATTGAACTGTATCAGTTCTGTTAAACAAATGTGTTATCGAGTTTTGAAATGAAACATGACTCTCATCGTTGATCCAATAGTGAATGTGGTGGCGTCTTTAAAAATTATGTATATATTTTTCAAACGTTCACTACGATGTGCTTTAATTCGCTGATGAATATGGAGAGTGTATTTGACCTGCATTTGCGACATACCTCATCCACTTACTCGTTAAAATTCTTTAAAGCCACATTTGAATTATACTCAGGTGTAGAAAATTTGGAATAGTTAAATTCTCATTCACCTAGGTCTGCTACTCCCAATCTACCCCGTCCTGGGCTTCTCTTCTGCTTCTATCCAATTGCTGTTCATTCGTCTCATAACTGTTTCATTTTCTTAGCGCAATGTATTCTCTGATCCTCCTATTCTCCTCTTCCCCTTGATAGATCCACGTGAGGGCTTGCTTTGCGATGCAGTTGAGTGCTTTTTCCTATATTTGTCCTACCAACTTCCATCGCTTCTTCCAGATTTGTTCCTCTGCCGGGTTCTGATTTGTTTTCTCCAATAGTAGGTGGTTGCTGCGAGTTTTCGGCCAACGGATCCGAAGTATTTTGCGTAGGCGGCTGTTAATAAACTCTTGCATCTTCTGGATGACGTCTTTCGCAATACTTCAAATTTTCGTTGCATACAGTAGAACCGTCTTGAAAAATAACTTCCAGGTCTACAGAAGCTGTATTGAAACTAGATGTTGCAATAATACTGCTATTATCCCTAAGTAGAAGACACCCAAAACAGAGCAAATATTTTGTCCAGCTGCAAGATATAAAGTAATAAATAATAATATTCTCACGATAATTTATGAACCACCTTGAGAGACGCTCAAGTGACCTAAAGACAACTCACGTACTTTCTGTGGTGAAAGCTGGTTTGTTGAATAACATGAGGAACTGGGATATGAGATTATTTGTTGGAATTCAAGGTTATTGATTCAGACAAGGGTTCTCATCAAGGACTGGTATCAGCTATAATCCTAAAACGAGAATTAAGTTTGTGGATTAATGAGTTTCTCGCCAAAATTCAAGACTTGCTATTCTTGTTTCCATTGATTTGTCCATAAATTATAGTCTCACCATTCAAGGAAGCGTATAAGTTAGCGAGCCAATTAGTGCTACTCAGATACACTTCTGCCCTTCAGTGTTCTGTAAAATAAAGCGAGTTAATTTTCCAACAGGGGATGTCTTTTAACTTATGCCTGTATATAAATATAAAATGTGATTTTTCAGGGTGTTTTGAATAAAGGCCTACCTAACAAGTGTGAGGTTCACGGACAGACGTATAATGTAGTCGAATTAGTCATACAAATGGAAAATGTAGCCAATAAAACTAAACTTACTCATTGACATTTAAATGTTCTGTTGGATGCAATGTCCCACAATGATCTTAGGGTTGTGTTGATTTTGCTTGCATGTACTAATCACACCTTACTTTTTTTGTTCTAGTGACCCATATTGTAATGTATGTGAAAAACGAACCAACCTCCTGAACTCGTGGCAGCGAAAAGTGAAACAATTTTGGAAAATTACATGCAAACAGAGCTTTGCGTTTACATCACTAAGGTCAGGACCGAAATGCGGCTTCAGAGAAATTTAGTGTTGTGAGATATTTTGATTCTCAAAGATATCTGTTTTTAGTAGACCTTTTACCGAACGAATAGCAGGATACAAATACGTGTTGTCTGTTACTTCCATTTTAAATTGATCGTAGATGGAAATTATCTGAAGTTTCAAGGACCGCATTTGGGCTGTTTAGCATAGGCATCTTTTGGTTTCGATACAAAAAGTACCGAAATTCTTCACGCACCTCGTAGTGCCATCATAATTTGTCTGTAACTCAAAGTGGTAGTTGATTTTCACAGCACTGACTTTCAAAAAATATAGATCACTTTGTTCTTAGATAATATCCACTAAGTTTTCAAAGTGTGATAAGTTGAAGGTAAGACATCGAGGAATCATGGCTGACCATTTTAATGAAAACCATGAATGCATCGATATTCCATGGACATGAAACGTACATGTGTATCAACCAGCTAAAACCGCTCTAGAAATTGTTTGAAATGCTTTACAAAACTTAAAAACACTTCGACTATACGAGAAAATTAATTTATCAAAAACTGTCATAATTGGCTGTTGAACATTTCCAGCAAAGTTAAATATTAGTTTTTTTAGTCAGCCTATAACTTTTAGTTCCAGTGATAACAAATTTTCATCTGATATCCCTTCGTTCTTCGTGCCATACCAAACGGAACTTGCAAGGGTATTCCGAAACGTCATAAGCATAGAACAAGTTACCTGTTAGCTGGCTATCAACTTCCCGGTTGAATCCTAAAGTCATGGAACGCGTTACCTAAACTCGTGGGTGAATCTCTCCCTCTCTGTTGATTCATTAAAAATAAGTTTGACAACCTGAAAGATAACTATTTTCAGGAATAACAACGCCACTCAGCCTTCTATTTTTCAAGCAGAAATTGAGTAGAGATATAAATGTACATTGTACTGTGGTTTGCACCATGGGAATAAACTGCGGGTTGCTTGAACCTTTTGGTAACGGCTTGATTTAAAGTTATCAGTTGATAGATCAATACCTTTAGTTGGGAAGTTACAGCTAAATAGAAGCTAATTGAGCAGAGGATATATGCACATCTTATCGGGGGATTTAATCGAACTGCAGTTCCCATCAACTGATTGAGTTGCTTACTATACATACTATAGTTGTAGCTACAACAGAATAACTTGTGTTTACTAAGTGGAAAACAACCTATCTCAGTGGACAACGTTACAATGGACCAAAAAGTTTCTAGTTATTTGGTTCCTCGTGAAGTTCTTTTGCGGTATGGTGGAATGTAAGTTAGCTTTTACTGTGACGTTTCCATGGTTGTGCAGAACCAATGATCAGAAGAAGCATTTGTACAGTGAAATACATTCGTTGGATTTCGTGTATATACCAAGCTTTCTGAAGTCACAAGGGTCCGGTGTTGAACTTCTATGTGTGTACTTCATATCACAATATGTGAATTTAAGATTCAATATTTTGTAGATCAGTACGGTGTTTGTCAATCTCCGAAGGATTTTGATGGTCAAATTTATGAATATTTTGTGTGCCCTACATCGCTAAATGAAAAGCTTGGCTCTTTCGAGGGCGAGCAAAGATTTTGTTGTGGAGCACCTCCACTGCAATATTGTTGTACATCCACCCAGTTTTCGTAAGTTATACTTCCTTTTTGAATGCTTGGTCGTCTCAAAGATCAATTTCTGTATAGTTCAAACCATCTAATGCATTGGGTATTCATAGTGTTATATCATGTGTCAAATTTCATTCTCGTAATTCATGTGCGTTACATAATTTTAAATGTGGTAAGATAGGATGCATTTACTGGGTATGCGAAACTACTACTCATTTTGCTTCAAGTAGTACTAAACCTTGTAATTTAGGTCCCATTAATTCGGCCGTTTCTAATGATCATTTATCTTTATCCACCATTTCGAAAGATAATGTTCATATTCAAACGCGATTATATGCATCGCTCGGTTCATTTCATGACTTTATTGTGGGCATAGACAGTACAGAATCCACTATTCGATTCAAGAGCCTGAAACCTTTAGATCCTAGCGTTGCAGTACAACCTACTGAAGTCTCAATATTGTGGATTACTGGACACAGACTATCCATATGAGGATGCTGTGAATGGCTAATTAGAGATGATAATTCTTCATATATGCCTTGCGAATTCTTAGCTAGCGGAACAGGACTGTCAATAGTGGGTTTTAAAAAATTCGAAAGAGCTTTAAAATTAGCTGTTTCTATTAGTTTCTAAAGAAGATTGTGATGCTTCACTTAAAGATTCGATAGCCTCATGTGCTAAGTGGAGGTATGAAAATTCAGCCTATAAAAGCTCCAAGTGTTGTATGTCACAGTATATTGTCACGTGATATTATGGTACTCTGGTGTTACGCTATAATAATTAGAAGCACTCAAACTAACAATCTGGTCAAAGACTTCCGAAATAGTGCTATCTGAGTCGATTAGGACTATATGGGCACAAAAGAATGTATTATATTTTTAATTCATAGCAAGCGCGCAATCAAATACAGAGGAATAATCAATTGGTACTAATACCACATAATTTTTGTGCACAATATCAATAAATCGACTTGAATTGCAAATTTCATCATTTGTGTGACTTTGTTTCTGTTTAGGAAAGTATTCTGATGGGGGCGCTATATATTTTACTCCCAGTCTTAAATGTGAAACATTCCCTTTCTTTGCTGGTATAATGATGGTTCGTTTAAGGTTTTTTTCTATCCAGCTACTCAAAACGTTCCAGAATCTGATAAAAAATGGCTTTTTAATTTCATGCGTATTCAACGGTTTGTCTACATACTAGTTTTCGGCTTTCTAACCGCTAGAAAAATAAACACACGTTTCTTTAGAGAGTAAACTGTAATTTAATCTACGAAATATACAAATATAATGGTTGGTTATCAGTGTTGGAGTAACTAGGTTTTTATATAACCCTATTGTTTTATGTTCATAAGTAATGATTTTGTGATAAGGAGTTACAAATGTTCTACAATCAGGCGAGCTGCCTTGTCTTATTCGCAAAAAATTAGACTTATGGACAAAGTATTTGGATCCCACTGCTTCAAGGATGCAGTCGTAATATGAAAAATGTCAAGTACAGATTCACATACTTAGCTTTAAATTATGAGTTTTGTGAGGATGTCTAAACTGAAGTAAATGGGGTGGAATTTATCCCTAGAACTCCGTAGTCTGAAGTTGAATGCTTTAAATACTAATTGAAGTTGGTTTATGTAGATTATCTTTTGCTAAACTTGTGGAAACAATTTGTTTTCTGGGTAACTAGTAACAGTGTTTAGATTTTGCCGAAGTGATACGATAATACGTACAGAAGTTTTGACTTTTTGTGGTGATTGATGCAGTCATTTGGGATTCATAAAACAGCATATTCGGACCAAACATGTGATAGCTAAATTTCCTAGCTCGATTTTATTGATTGGATCGTGTTGGTGATTTTAATAAGCGTTTGTCTATCTATATATCTATTATTTCTACTTCATTATTCTGTTGGTCTATAATTGCTCGACGTACATTGTTTGGTTAACGTTCTGGACGGTTTGAACTCACTTCATCATATTTGACATCTCTATAGAAATACTGGTTTTAATTCACCATAATATGGATACTGATCTTAGGAGCCAGTACCAATAAAATCACTATAAAGCCTAATTCCGGTGTTAATCCAATAATGCCGTTATTCCAATCCACTTGTTTCCATTCAACCATGTTGTGATTTGATTCTGTTTAGTACGACTGCGTATTTTAGTTAATTTAATTAGTGAAACGTACACTGAAGAAAGTTGTTACTTGAGTTCTTATGCAATCCATTTGTCATTAGTCATCCAGTTGGAAATAACGGATTTAACATTTTATGATCAGGAACTTGCCAATAACGTAACCTCGAAACGTGTAGTCAAAAAAGCAGTCGTGAAAACAACATAGTGAGTGCCCATTGACTTTCAGGCATTTTGGGACATGATTTGACGGTTTTGTGTTATCAGTATTCACTTCACCATCTTTGTCCATGAAATCTCATCTGTGTTTACAATTAGTAAAGTCGGTCCATAGTATTCAATTAGGAGTTTGTCATATGATAGTTATTTTTGTTTGATATTCACCTTGACAATGAAAAACAAACCCACTAAAAATCTTTATAAACTTATGTTGCATATGTAATCATTTGTTCAAAATCTTCATTTAATTTTTCCGTAATTTATTAGATGACAACAGTCAAGTTCATTTTTAACTGCCAATTCTTTATAACTCATGAACTCTACGATTATTCACTTGAAACCGAAATCAAAGTTTATATAGCTGGGTTTTACTCATATTTAATTGCTTTATTCCATACTCAAATAAGTTGTGTAGTATTTTACGTTCTCTTATGTTCTTATATTGTAATAATTTTACTTGTAGATCGGGAATTCATATTGTACAGTAAGTTACTATGGATATAAATTTGAAACTTCTTACCTATGATTTTACATGGAATACCGAATGTTTTTGTTTTACAAGATATGTTCAGTCTTCTAGGGATTCAATTCGTAAAGTTGGTATTGTTTATAAAATATTTCAAAAGATGTACCGGTATAACGAATTGCGGAAAGCTACTGATAAATATCCAGCAAAACAGACCATATTTAGTCTTGGGATTTATTGTAATGCAGAAACTGTTACTTTTGTGTTTGTACAGTGAGTAGAAAATCCGTATCAAAGAAGTGATGGCAGATCAATCGACATACAAGAAGTCTGATACCTCTTATTGACAAGGATGTAGAAAGACTTAGGTTTGCTTTGTTGGATTTTTTTTATAAATTCATTAACATTAGATATAGCATAAACACTATTCCGACCAAACCTGAAATCTAGTCAAATACTTGGTTCTCAAGGCAGGAGTTATTTACTCTTAGGACTTATGAAGGTCGAATAGTGATACAACGTTTAAGAAATCCCTTAGAACAAAAAAGTGGTGCAGAAAGGCTAAGTTCTTTTTTTCAGCCGCCCAATGGTAAATTTAAAAAAATAGATGTAAACTGCCCAGTTTCTCTACTTTCGGGTGTATTTACCAGTTCGACTGCTCCTGTTAAGCAAGTACACCATCGTATTTCGAAACATCAGTTTTCATGGTTGACTAAAGGGCAAAATCAAACGATAGCAAGCTCTCTCTCTCCCTATATATATATATATATATATATATATATATATATATATATATATATATATATATATATCGTAATACCGCCCTGTTAACGTTCGTTTTAAATAACGAATCATTCAGTCAAGCAATTTAAAAATTGTAGTTTTTTATGATTGAGAGTATAATCATTCCATTTTCTAATTATAAATAAACAATTATTTCTGAGGCTTTTTGATATGTATATAGGAGGAGAGGGTGGTACGTTTTGTTTAGTTATTTAAATAAAAACGGAGTTTTCTAGAACTGATTCCAAGAGTGGTATTAAATCACTAGTAGCTGCATTTATTTAATCGAAATGAATCAACATACTGCTTAAAGTAGTAAAATTTTACTGTATTCAAATGATTTTGAAATTACTGTCAGTTATTCAAAATGTTATTTATTACTTCGACATTTTCATATCCGCTGACAATCAATGGATTAGTGGTTGAAAACGGCATTCGGTTTTCAATCAGCAGGTTGCAAGGTTTGAATCCCGTCTTCAAGTGCCTTAACACATAAAGAAAGTTTAGTCTAAAGCTGAATACGTAAACTTGTGCTTAGTGAACGAATTATATAATTTATTTTGTTACAGTTCCTACCTCTTCTGCTAATCCTTTATGTAGGTTGCTAAAATATTTTTTGAGACTGTCCAATTAAATTTAATTTATCGTTTATTATATTATTACCAAAAGAAGAGGTAAAGTTTTCGCGCAGAGTATAAATTTTAGTTTTTCTTTACCAAGTGTTTATCTCTCTCCAACTTATCCTCTTTGTAGATCAGATCTTTTAATTTCACCTTCGATTTTTATTGGAGGCAGTCTTGGATTTCTTTTATTTGGTATCTTTTTCGTAATATACGCATATTCAAGATTAGCACGTAATCTTCGTAAAGCATCTAATAAGTTATTTTACGAAACAAACTTTGGTGTATTTGCTTCACCTGCTTTCCATGAGCCAATACAAGTAAGTATATATATCAGATTTCCCAACTAAATCTTTTGAACTATGATCCATGGTATTTAACAGACCATATCAGTTAGAAATATCATTAGACATTTTATAGTTCTGCCGGTGCTAAGTGGGTAGTAAAGGTACTGGAAAAAATTTCTTTCCAGTACAATGTGCTGTCCAAAGGCATACATGAATGACTTCGTTGATTAAGATCGTAAAGTTGGTATTCATTCGTAACCATAGATTTTCTTTCTGTAGCTGCGGTGTTTAGGTACTCATATACTCCACTTACCTGGCTAATGGCAACAGGTGATATTGCTAACAAATGGTATGATTTATTTCTTTGTAAAAATTTGAATCATTCTAAGGTCCAAAATGAGACAAAATTTACTGAACTTCACTGCTAGGTACTATGGTCAAGTTTTAGTTACAAACAACATTAAAGCATCTACTCAGTTAGCCCGTATGCTAACACAGATTGATCAAACAAATTCCTGAATATCAACTACAAGAAATTATAAAATCCCTTTAATAAACAACCAACAGCCGATTTTAATAATCTAATATAGTAAGTTGTATTTATCACACACTGATATGAGTTGAGAGAGAGCACGGGAAAATTGTTTCGTCCTAGTATGAGACACTTAAATAGACTAGCCCGGAAATGTTTTCAACAGTGTTGTTGAAACGGATAAAAAATTCAGTGAACACTCAGCTTCGAGATCAACAGGCCGGATTTCTTAGGGATCGGTCATGCACAAACCAAATCGCGATACTACGGATCGATCAATTCAATGGAATTCATCATTGTACATAAACCTCCTTGACTATGAGAAAGCATTTGATAGTGTGGGTAGGAGAAACTCATGGGACCATCTTCGACACTATGGTTTACCTGAGAATATTGTTAACATCATCAGGAATTCATACGATGGAGTACACTGAGAAGTCGTGCACGGAGGATAGCTGACAGATGCATTCCAAGTGAGGACCGGAGTCAGAAAAGGATGCCTACTCTCCCCCTATCTCTTCTCTCTAATGGTTGACCAGATTATGTCAACCTATGTATCTCAGAGGAAGCACGGATTACAATGGGCAGTTCGGAATTAACTAGACGATTTGGACTTCGCAGACGACCTGGTCCTCCTATCCTATACACACGAATAATTGCAGATGACGACAACAAGTGTAGCAGCAGTCTCTGCATCAGTAGGCCTCAACATACATAAGGTAAAAGTCAAGATCCTGAAATACAACACGGAGAACACCAATACAGCCACACTTGATGGAGAAGCTCTCTGGGATAGGAGGATCTGGTGCAGATGTAAAGGCAAGGATTGGCAAAGTAAGGATAGCATTGCTACAATTGAAGAACATATGGAACTCAAAACAACTGTCTGCAAGCCAACATCAAAGTCAGAACCTTCAATACGAACGTCAAGACAGTTCTACTGTATGGAGCTGAGCTTTGGAGAGCTACTACAACCATCACAAAAAAGGTACAGGTATCTGCAAACAATTGTCTACTCAAGATACTCAATAACTGTTGACCGGATAGCATCAGCAACAATTCACAGTGGCAGAGAAAAACCCAAATTCCGACTGAAGAGGAAATTAGGAAAAGACGTCAGAAGTGGATAGGACATACATTGAGTAAACCATCAGACTGGTTCACGAGGCAAGCCCCAACTTGGGATCCTGGAGAGAAGAGGGAAAGGTGACCCAAGAATACATTGCGTCGGTAATCAGAAGCAGACATCAAGAGAGTGAATAGCAATTGGAAATAACTAGAAAGGAGAGCCCAAAACAGAGTTAGCTGACGAATCCTGGTGGGTGATCTGTGATCGTTTGTCAGGGGTGACTGGTGTAAGTTAGTAACTATTGTGTGTGTGCAGTGCAGTTTGCACTTGCGACCGTATTAGATATGAAGCCCATCAGCTTCGGATCACTTAGTGATTGCTTAACTGACGGGAATACTAGGTTGGCGTCTAATGGTATAATTCCAACTTCGATCAATTCGCAACCATTTTTAGTGGTACGTCAACTGAGATCAATATTTTTCGAATACAATCTAAAGGTTAAAACTGATTTCATATCGTCTTAAAACTTCGAAATTCTACTCTTTCTGCATTTCTTTCTTTTTAATATTGTAACATAGATTTTGTCTATTTATTTTAAATAAAGAATTTAGAGCTGGCCACTTCATCTGATATACAATCAAGTGGACCACCTAAGAAGATGTTACTCTCTGGTGGTAGTAGATTAACTAAAATTTCTTCTGAAAAATCTGTCTCTGGAAATCCATCCCAAAATACAAATTTTACTACTAACAATGATCACTTGTTGGTAATATCTGATAATTCCGAAAGAGAATCAATTAAGAATTCAATTCATCAACATAAATCAAAACATTCTTACATAATAAATAATAATAACAATAATAGGAAGAAGAAGAAAAAGAGGAGAAAGAATGAAAATTCAACATCAATCAAAGCTCGACCTGTACTGTTGAAAAGATCATCGTGATTTGTACTGTCCTTTGCTTTTAAACTTGATTTCCAATTATGTAATTTGATTTGCGCCATTTAATTGAAATCGAGAATAACAATCGACAATGTGTACAGTTGTGATTATTAACAAATATACATAAATTGTTTTCTTTGAGTAATAGTAATAACTGGTAATGTTTATGTTATGGAGTACGAAAATAAATATATTGACGAAATCAGTTTACACATTAGATATTTTAGTGTATAACAATTAAGTCACTCAGTCTGATTGTAAGTACGTATAGACTCAGATTTATAAAATCATTAGAAAGGGTTTGAATTATCTGTTTATTGATGATAACGAGTAAATTTCGATCAGTCCTTATTGGTATATGTGCGGATTACCTCTATGTAGACATGATACAAGTTTTTTAGAATAAATTGATTTTAACTAATAGTGGAATTCAGGAGATATTTGGGACACTTCAGTTGAATATGCCCGTATCCCAATTTTGATGGTCATATTTAGGACTTCATTCCATTACCTCTGTCTTTGGACGCCAACACTTTGTCCATTGAGTTCAGTGGTTGCAAGCATATCAGTTTGACAAGTAGGGTGAAACATATCCATCGAATTGCTCTGTTAGTCGCCATTCTTCTGTTCTATGGTTTGATATTATTGTGATAGTATGTTAAATACTTAACAGTCTTCACCTACATTTCCGACAATGTATCCTGACTGAAATGAGAGTATTGGTTTTTAGTTAGTACGAGCTGTGAAAACGAGAAAATGTTAGACCTAGATATTTTTATTGAACTGATTTACGATTTCTAACTAAACACTTATAAGACTATTAGTTTATGGTATTATTATTATGCACTCCAAGTTGTAAGTTATCCTTTGATTATTACTAGTCATTATTATACGTTTTACCATTCTCATAAATCCCAAGTCAGTTAGTAGATTTTAAATCTGTTGAGATGTGTTGTTTTCAGTGTAATGTCGCTTTGTATTTTACTGATATAATACGACTGTTCACTAAGCTAATAATTCGCTATTCCGACTTCAGTAGGGATGAACTAGATTGTCTCTTTTTCCCTGTCCTATAACTAGAGAAAAAAGTCCAAGTTGATTTAGCAGCTATATTGAGAAACACACAAAGCTAATGAGCTAACTTTCGAGTTCACATCACTACATACTAGTTACTCTCAGCTTTTGTTAGTTGAATAAGTAATCGAACTAAATAAATATCTTTTGTATGAAAAATCACAATGAAACAATTAATACGACCAAAGTACATTGAAAGTTAAAATAAATGAGATTTGTATTGAATTAATCAGTACAAATAAAAGAGCACTAAGTGTCAAATGAATAGAACTTACACTGTATTAGTTACTGAACATAAAAGTGTACTAAAAATCAAGTGAACGAAAATTATCTTAAATCAGTGCGAGATCTTAAGATTGGTTCCTCTCTATTATGCTGTATTTAGCGATTTAATGTCACTAGCACATCCCTTTAACAATATGCTTCGTTAGGATTTACATAAAATGGGACGGTCTATCATATCCTTGGGTTTCTAACCGTTGGTCAGGAAAATCACTCTGACTTCAATCACATAGTCTACAACTACCTATATAGATATTAGCTAAGTTTTCTCACAAAAAGGTGTGATAAATGTAATGTACACAACTCCTAACCTGATTCATTTTATGTTTACTGATCTTTCTCGTTTTAATCAAAACAAAGTCATATGTTAGCGTGCATGCAACAAAAGTTAGTATTTTCAAGAAATAAATGCAACCAAAATAGAAATTCACAAACTTTCAATTAGCATACCAAATTAATTAGAAATTATATACGTCTATCAAACAAGTGTTACTGCTCACTAATTCCTGCAACATATGAATGATTTTTTCGCCGTTGAAAACGTCAACTGAACTGAGCTGGGCCAAAACTGGAAGGCGTGGGAGACCGAAAGTCCTGGATTCGAGTCCCAAGTATTGGAGTATGGATGTACACTGCTGAGGACTCCCACACTCGGGTGAATGGCTGTCTATTTCCATGTTTTCAGTAGTAGTTTATGACAGATGAGTTCGTGAATTCGACAATCGTGGAAATACTACAAACTCCACAATTATTTTCTATCAGTCCACTTTTCTTGTCCAAGCTTTGAATAGAGTTGTTATTATTGGGATAATATAAATAGGAAAATAAACAGAAGTATCTTTGACTTTCATGAAATCTCTTCCTTTGTTTATAAGAAATTATATAGTTTGCTAGTTAAGTGTACTTTTAACGATATCCCTACACCTACAGTTAAATAGTTAAATTGATTAATTATATATTGATTACGTCAAATCTTTCCGATTTCATAAAACGCTATAAGTGGTTACAAAGCTTTAAAATAGTGATTACGTGTGATTTGTGTTCAAATTTCAATAACCAACCTTCTACATTATAATCCCACCACCTGACAATTAATAATTTATAGCAAGATAAGAAAATGCTTGTTGAAACATATAACAAGACAGATGGTTGAGTGAAAACATCTTTTGGCAGAGTTCATCCATAAATTTTAAAAAATTGTGAATTCGAATAGTTTTTAACATTAAACTCTATAACATGTATGCTAACAACGTTCGTTTATTAAAAATAGTGTGAAAAGCAACTAGAAACGTCGAGTTAAATTACTATAATTAGGAAACTGAAAATGGAATTCTCAGATAACTGGAAGTTAAACAAGAATGATATGAGGACTAGATCAAGTATAGTAGCTGTGGATTTTACGTGCTGAACCATACTCTCACAAAATAAATGTTTATGCGGTTTCAAGTATACTTTCTAGCCTTTTAAAATACCATGATTATCCATTTTGTATAATTCTTTTATGTGGTTAGATGACGCGTCGCTGAAACATATATTTGCCTAATTCTTCATTATTTCTTTCCGAGGTACCGTCTTTCGTAGAATAAACGGGTTTTGCTTCATAACGTTTAAAACAGAAAGCATGTTTCATTGTGAAAGTTATTTATTAAGACCAAGTTTATTGTGCATAGATTAGCTGGAACGATGTTGCGTTAAATGCTCCACATAATCGGTTCCTGAAATTAAAATTAAAATGAAGTTTAACTGTTTGATAGCGATATATATATATATATATATCATTGACCGATATTAGTAAAATAAACCTTAAATACTACAGAAAACTGGATATTTTCTCTGGTTAAACTGATTATACACGCGTAAATACTTCAATATACATGTTATGCAGATAGATCAGATTATGAAACTGTTCACGTTGCTTGTCTAGCTCATTAACATTTATGTTTTTAGATATACAGAACCGGTCTGGGTTTTTATATACCTTCATCATTGAGGAGTCTGTGAGCACGAATATTCAATATATCGTCATTGACATTACATTCCACGTAATCCTAACTTAATCTATGCATAAATACGAGTTGCTTTTTTTCAGCAAACAAATAACTTCAAGTCAAATATCAGAGAAGCAAACTTCGAGAGTAAAAAAGACTGTTAGTAGCAATGTTTTTGCTCACTGTCTGAAAAAAACGAGACACGTTATGTGGTCGACAGCCGTTCACGAAATTCAGTGAAACTACGTTCAAACAAAGCTCACCAGTGGGATTTGTGTACACTTCATTTAAAGTTAACATCAGCATTATAAAGTGCAAAACCATGAGTTATAAGATGTTGATCCAATATCTAATTTAGTGCATTTTTCGTAGCAATTTTCTGGCATGTAGGCACTAGGGGGCTGTCAGTTTCAGGCAGCTGAGACTAACTTATAAGAAAAATGTGTCGTTATAGACACATTAAGTGTCTTTGGCACAATTATTTTGACGAGAATTAACCTACCTGCTCTTTCCTCTGGCTTCACTATCAATAGTAGTAAATTGTATGTCCCTCCAGCTCAACGGATCAGATTCAGGACGCCACTGGGTTAAAAAATTTCCTTGCTCTTTGGGCCTAGTAATTACACTTTCGGACTTATACCTTGTATTATAATTACTTAGAAAAATTTCGTTTTTCTCTAGTTTGAAATCTCGGGAAGTATTTAATTTTTGACCACTTTTCATGTTCACGGTAAGTTTTTGGTCTGATGTTAGACTTGGTGAAGCCGACTGAACAACCGTATTCGACGGATAGTTCTGGTAAAACAGTAAAATTTGTAAACCGAAGTTACAATATTTGCCAACATCTAACATATTTTTTTAAACAAAAATCATATAATTTTCCTGAGCTACACTGATTTAATACTTCATATTTTACAAAATGATTAGCTAGTCTTTGTTTTCGTGAATATTTAAAGCGAAAGCCTTTAGTCTTGTTGTTTACTTTGCTATGTCACTCAAAGGTATTGCACAACCGTCTTATATTTTAGAAGTTCTGACAGTTGTTTAATGCATTTTAATTAATTTTGTTTAGCTTGACTGTCAGCCATCAGAAGTGATTAAGAATAAGACACAGCCTCAAATAAAAGTAAATAGTCTCAAACTGCTGCATACTGTAAGAGTATGAAAATACAAAGATAATAAAAGGGACAAGTGAAAAGATAGTGGGACATCACGAACAGGTATACCATAATATTAAGTCGGCTAAGATGAGTTAAAATAAAAAAATATTGCCCATAATTGTGAATGTTAGGGAACTATCTCTCAGTCAACGGAGCGTCTAATGTCCCTTTATTCGAGGGTCTGGTGTAGATTCATCATAACTATTACTAGGTTTAGTGGTATTATACGTAAATATAAAATGTTTTGCATGTTGGACGAAAAATTAAAACTGAACGAGATACATTCTAGAAGTTCTTTAGTAAAAATAAAATCATTTAGCGATTGCTTTCAATTATTTCATACTAATGGGTGCTAAAAATGTTGAGTTGGTTATTGTTCATGATTGCGTCTAAGAAATATTGATACAGAATGTCCAGTAGTTTGGCATACATCTTGGGAAGAACAATCTACAGTTACTTTTGCATAAAATGGATTTAGATTCCCACTAAAAATAAATCG